GTCAAAGCACGATCAAGAAAATTACGTACAAGTGTTTCTTGCTATAAAAATAAAAGAAATATTTCATAGTAAAAAAAAAGAATATAAATATTATATTTTCTTTGTTACTTTTATATGTCTTTTTGATTCACGAAAACCTTCTGCTAATAATGGTAATGTATCTGCCGTACAACTAAGTGTATTTTTAAGTAGTTCAGTAAAATCTTTCTCTTGTTCTAGAGTTTTAATCTTTAAAATAAAGTTCATAGAAATTTTTAAGATAAAAAAAAAAAATAACTAAATCTTACTGGTGGAAATGTATGCAGTGTATGAAAGATTTTAATAAATCGTTCATGCTAAAATAGAGATCAGTCATTGGTAATAACAAAAAAAAACAATACATATGAATAAATTAATTTATACCAATTCTAATAACAGAGGATTACATGCAACAACAAATGGTAAATTTCGAAAATCATCTATTCGATGTGCAAAACGAATGGGTAAATCTCTATGAAGATATTGAGCTGATCTCTAAAATATAAAATAAATGATCAAGAAGTTCATGTTTTAATTATTGAAACTTACTAAAAGATGACTTCCATCTTCTGTTTTTCCAATATACATCATTGTTAATGGTGTAAGGCGAATTGAATGCTAGAAAAAAAATAATAAGAATTTTAGTTAATAGAAATCAAAAATAAAATAAAATCTATTCTACCTTAGCAGCGTATTGTTCAATAGCAGTTTGACAATAAAATGAAGTAACAGTTATATTAGCCAAATGTTTATCACGAATAATTTTTTCAGTTGGAGATGCATATCGATTATTTCCATTTTCATTTGTTGTTTGTAATGAATGTTTATTATCATGATTATTATTATTGATTGTATTTGTTACATTAGTTGTGTTCAGACGAACACATGGCCTTACTGACCATAGTAATCGATGTATTTTAGTACTAAACATAATTTTTTTAATTATCTTTTCAAATAAATATCATGATCGATTTGTTAATAATAATTTAAACAAATCATATTTTTCGTGATATTCTTCGAGAAGAATGAGAAATAATCATATGGAAATAATATCCGTAATGATAGAAAGTTCAAATTCAACATCGCATAAAACACGCGCTGGCAGCGTGATATACATAAATAAGTGTTATAATTGCAGTGACGACAGCCACTATCAGTAGTTTCTTGTTTGTATATGATTGGCTTTTGAATCAACCAATAAAATATGTTATTATGGAAATAAATACGATTATTATTCAATGTATGTAAAGAACTGTGAAATAACAGTTTTGAGTATAAGAAGCTGCATAAATTTAAATTTTCTTCCTTTTTAGATTTTCTTTTAATTTCATCTTAAAGAAAAAGTTTAACCATGGCTGATAATGATAAAGCAAGTATTTTTCGTGGACAAAAAAATGTTTCAAGTTTTTCATCATCTTCATCAACTGTAACAAATAATCAAGAACAACCAAAGGTATGTAATTTAGTATTTTAGTTATATTTAAAACCCCGAACGTTATGAAATGAGTAGAGGGGAGAGATGAGAGTGAGTTTTTTTGTTTTGATTACAAGAGTTCTCGTCTTTTTCCTACATTCAATTTTGGTCAAATAAATGAAACTCTTAAAAACATATCTGATATTAATAATAATATTAAACGATCTGTTGATATTAATAATAATAATAATGATATTGATTATGATGATAAACCGGAAACATCTATAAGTATGGAACAATTATCATTATTAAATAAACATACACATTTACGTGATATAAATTATTCATTAATATTGGAAGATGATGGAACAAATCCACAATCACCATTACATTCTGTTAAAACATTTGAAGAATTAAAATTAGAACCACAATTATTAAATGGTATTTATTATATGGGTTTTCGACGTCCATCACGTATTCAAGAACGTGCATTACCACAATTACTTGCTTATCCACCACGAAATATGATTGCACAATCACAAAATGGAACTGGAAAAACAGTAAAATGAAAAACAAAAAAAAATTTATACAATAAAAAAAAACTATTCATTGAAATATTTAGGCAGCATTTTCTTTGGCAACACTTAGTCGTGTGGATCCAAATTTAAATTATGTTCAAGCACTTATTCTATCACCAACATTTGAACTTGCTTTACAAATTGGACAAGTTATTGAAAAAATGGCAAAATTTTTACCATATATTAAAATAGCATATGCTGTACGTGATCCAACAATATCAAAACGAAATGAATATACTAAAGGAAAAGTATTAGATGTTCCAATTGTTATTGGTACACCTGGTACTGTTGAAGATTGGTGTAAAAAAATGAAAATAATTGATTTAAAAAAATTACGTATGTTTGTTATTGATGAAGCTGATGTTATGATTAGTTTACCGGGTTTTTCACAAATTTGTATTGATCTTGTCAAAAATACTGTTGGAAAAGATTGTCAAACAATGCTTTTTTCAGCAACATATTCAGATGAGGTTTGTTTGAAAGAAAACAAATATTTTGAACTTTTCAAGACGATTTTTTTCATTTTTTTTTTATTGGATTAGGTTATGGATTTTGCTAAACGAATTATTGAAAATCCAGGTAAATTATTTCTAGATTTTAATTTAATCAAGAAATATATCCAACTGTCAGATGCTGTTCGATCTTAAATTTTAGCCATGAATAGGACGTAGTAAAACTGAGAAAATCCTAAAACGGTCCGAGTGAATACAGTAACCTAGCTAGAATTATGATCGCTGGAGTTTCATGAAAAATTTAATTATTAGATTTTCATCTAAAATTCTCTTCATAGAAAGATCTCATGAAGAATAGACTATCGTGAAAATTTCTGTGCAAACGAATGTATTCTAATTGCGATATCGAATATCCAATGGATGGTTATATGTCATCAGACAAACGATATAGAATCGAATTGTCTTAGATACTTAAGATCTCAAGAAAAATATGTATGTTTGAACTAAAATCTTTAGAAACAAGTTCAAAGGTTGAAAAACTCCTAAGACGATCATAATGCTGGACTAAGTGACGCATCGATTTCAACTGATTGAGGATTTTTTAGTCTTACTCATTGCTATAATAATATCGAGCCAAACAATGTCCAACATTTACATGTGTATTTTCTTAGACAACAAAAGTCAGTAGAGAATTTCGTCTATCCCTATTTGCTTTTAAGTCGACTATGTACAGATGATACTAAACATATCCAATGATTGACAAGATATATTTTCCTATATTAGTATATCTTTACATCAAGAAAAAAGTCGTTGACATGTTTCGTTCATTTTGAATACATAAGTTGTAATAAAATCAGCTCTTACAGTTCTAGTAGGCTATTAAAGATTGTATATAGAAACAATTTTAGCTTCTAAAAAGCATGTTTCTGTACATTTTTTGCTTTTAAGTAAAGTTCGATTCTCATTATCTAAATCGATTCGAATAGAAATATGATCTAACACTCGTTAATTTAATGTTGGCATTCAATACAAAGAATAGAATTATTAAATTACTAAAAAAGAGCAAGATTATTATTAATATGTCATAACTCTCGCATTTTCTTTGCATAGTTTTTTACTTGCACTAAATGCAGAAAACTACTCAATCACTACAAGAAAAAAAAAAGAAACTCCATTTAGAAAAGTTGTATAGAACATAACACTGCACTCTAACGAAAGAATTGGTCGAGGTGATATCTCCCGTTGGAGGTAAGATCCTAGTCATTAAGCAGATTTTGTTGAGTCTAGAAGAAACATAGAGAGATTCTTCGCCATGCATTTGCTCTTCCGAAGTTATAACCGTTATACTGGATTTCTTGCCTTTGATACAGTATTTATAAACATTTCAGAGAAACGAATTTTGGCTTAATACTTTTTTCATAGACAGTTCTCGAAGTCATTAGTTTTCTAGAAGTTTCAGCTAAAAAGAAGAGTCTCTTCTCGAAATATCAAATCTAATAAAAAAAAACCATGATACTGCATCAGAACAATGGCTAGAACTTCAAAAAAAGTAGCACATGAGGAAGAATCCTTCTTGATTACTCCTATTCTCAATAGGCTCTTCATAAGATTGTCTACTTTTCTTCACATTCAATTCTATCTATTAATTCTTTTTGTTTTTATTTAGTTATTTTTCGATTAAAACGTGAAGAACAATCATTATCAAATATTCGTAAGTATTCGTACACATTTTCATTATTATTAATAATTTATTGTTTTTTTTTTTTTGATTAACTAGGTCAATTTTATATTGAATGTAATAATGATGAAGAAAAATATGATGCTGTTAAAACAATCTATTCATCAATAACTATTGGTCAAGCAATGATTTTTTGTCGTTATAAACGTACAGCTCATGCACTTGCATTACGAATGATAAATGATAAACATTGTGTTGAATTACTATCATCAGAATTAACTGTTGAACAACGTGCTGCTATAATAAATCGTTTTCGTAATGGAAAATTTCGTGTTTTAGTTGTAACAAATGTTTGTGCACGTGGTATTGATATTGATGATATATCATTAGTACTTAATTTTGAATTTCCACTTGTTTATGATGATAAAAAACATTGTTTTATTGATAAACCTGATTATGATACATATTTACATCGTATTGGACGTGCTGGACGTTTTGGCCGTATTGGTCATACGTATGTTTTAATGTAGATCGATAATTGTTTTTATTATTTTTTGTTTTTTTTCTTCTTTTATATAGATTTAATTTAATAACACCATCAGAAAAACATTTACTTAAACAAGTTGAAAACTATTTTCAAAAACCAATTGTGGAATTTTCCGAAAAATATATTGTTGATGATGAACTTTATAACATATAGATATATATATATGTTGATAAATTTGGTTATTTTTTGATTTTGTTCTCCCTGTGAAATGTGATATTTTTGTTTGATTAGAAATTTTGAAAGAACAGAAATTTATTATAGATTTTTGAACAGAAAAGAAAGCCAGATTTTTTTTCTTATTTAGTCTGAAACTATGACATCAACAACGACAAATGATAATTCAATTTCACTAACACAAACAATTCAACATCCTTTTCCTGCGTCAAAATCAGCATCAACATCACCATTACCTTCACTTGCAAATGCTACGGAACCAAATAGTTCTTCATCGAATCAACAACAATCATCAGTTGCTACTTTTCCTCAAAGAACAACAGGAGCATCACCAACAGTATGTTTACATTCATGGTTCTTTATTTCTATTTTGTACGTTTATTGGCATTACCGCAGTACTCATAAGTGCCGACAGTAGATTGCCAGTTGAAAAACAATTATCAAGCAGAGAATACCCAACGGTTTAAGAGTAATATCATTTTTTGTGATCCAAAATTTTTGTTTTCTGTTACCATTGTATAATCTAAAGTAGTATTCATCTATTGAGGACATTTTGGGATCTAAAACTTGTTTCTTAAACTTAAAAAAATTAGGTTCATGTAACAGAAACAGCGAATCGCGTTTTTCTCAAACCAACTTTTTTTCATGAAGACAGTGCATAAACATCCCTGTCTTTTCAGCCTAGTATGCCCGATTGAGATGAAACTTTCATCATATATACTATACTCTGTTTGGAACAGATATTTTTTTTTTGTTTCAAATAGTATTGTTCTGCTGATTTTTGTTAGCTCTTACGGAAAAAGCTCTATTAAAAAAGACATGCTTTTTTAGAGTACTTCTCAGGCTTGTTTCTTTTTATTCGAAGTACAAAAAATAAGTAGATGCCCATCTTAAACAGTGTCTCGTGCCTATTAAAAAAAATTTTTAGCTCAATAGAAAATAGTATCTCGAAGAAACGGAGAAAGGCAACTTTTTGCCATTGAGATCCTTGTATCTCGTACAAGGTAGCATTTCGAAACTTTGAGTCGGCAACAACTTTCGCTCAACGTACCCTGAAAATATCAATTTTTCTGGTGAATGGTTCTCCAAAAACCTTGAAAATTTGTGGAAGGTACTCTTCAGTACCACCGGTATAGCACACATTATACTAAACGGTGTACCGGCGACTTTTGCCGTGTTTGAATTATATACCTTTCACTTCGAAAGTTTCAAGAATGAAATGTTGTAAAATTTTTATTGATACTTAAGACTAATAAAGAATCTCCATTTGGTGGTTCATTTATACAACCATCTACAACTGGATCAAATACAGAGTTTTCATTTACAAAACCATTACCAACAAATAGCTCTGGTCATTTTTTTTCAAATACAACATCAAACAATGCTTCTGGTGTTTATTTTCCAAATACAACAACAGGAAATGTTCCTATGTTTAATTTTACAAATTCATCAGAAAATCCTTTTAATGTTCCATCTAATCAATCAACAATTAATTCACAGGTTCGACAACCAATACAATCATTTACATTTACATCATCAAAACAACAACAAGAAATATCCAATAATAAATCACAAGATTCATTCCCAGTAACATCAACTCATAAATCAAATGCAATATCAATCATAAAAGAAGCAGCAGGAACTACACAAAATAATATATCAACATCTTCAAGAAAACCATCTGATCCTGCAACACCTATTTCACAACAATCAAGTTTCCCAAATCAAGAACAAGAAGCAACAGATCTTCCGGCTTCATTAGCTGATATATCATTATTAGAAAAAAAAATTCATACAAAATTAGTAGATTCAAGTGCATTAGTTATTGATCGTAGTGATCCAACATCACCACTATACTCATTAAAATCATTTCAAGATCTCAATTTGAAACCTGAGTTGTTAAAAGGTAATTTTTTAAAAATAGTTCAACTTAAAATAAATAAAAGTCGTCATTTCATTCTTCAAAAAAGAAGAAAATATTATTGTATATATTTGTCTCATAGAAAATAAGAGTTTTCTACAAAAAAAACGTTTTTCTTTATCCTCAAAATATTCGGCATATCAGCTACTAGTTTTAAACAAATATCAATATGCCTTTGTATATAGATTTTGATAAGCTGATCATGATGACACAGAAAGTTTCTTTGTCCTATAGTTACAATATTTTGTTTTTCATTTATGTATTAGATTAGAAGTCTTCCTAAAAAAAGACAAGTGTCTTTTTCTTTATAAATAGATAGCTGAATAACATTTGAAATTTAGTATATTTAATTTAATTCTTCACGTAAACATAAGAAGTTGACATTTGTTAACAACTATTTCTTGGCTATTGTATATAGAGAAACTCCTTTTTTATTTCATCACAATCTACATGTCGCATTCTATGAACTAGCATGAGGAAATCCATAAAGAACATCCGATCACAAAACACTTTTTGTTATGACCCTTCCTCCATAGTCCAGTTTCGGTCTTGCTGCACTTCTCTTGGATGTAAGATTTAAGAATAGTTTTTACAAAATACTTTAAGACCAATCTAAGAATTCTCCAGTCACTCTTTGTGAATGGACTCAATCTATGTTATTTTTAATGACGAGACAATGGAAACTTCTTTCATTTATAAGAACTTTATACTTTTGTCTTTTTTTTCATAGGTGTTTACAGTATGGGTTTTCAAGCTCCCAGCAAAATTCAAGAAATTGCTCTACCGCATTTATTAAACAATCCACCAAGTACAGAAAATTCGTCATGTTTAATTGTATTGTCTAAGTAATTTTGTTTTCTAGAAAATATAATAGCACAATCACAATCTGGTACAGGTAAAACAGCTGCTTTTTCATTAGCAATACTATCACGTATTGATCCATCGATTCCATCAGTGCAAGCACTTATTCTTGCACCAACATTTGAATTAGCTATACAAATTGGTTCGGTTATTGAAAAAATGGCACAATTTTTACCATATATTAAAATTGCTTATGCTGTGCGTAATGCCCTAACACAAACAGCAACTACTTATGTTCGTCGTCAACTTTTAAGCGAACCAATTGTTATTGGTACACCAGGTACAGTTGAAGATTGGTGTCGTCGACAACGTGTTATAGATTTAAGTAAATTACGTGTATGTTGTGTTGATGAAGCTGATGTTATGATAGCAACTGAAGGTTTTCAAAAAACATGTGTTGATATTGTACGAAGTCTTGATCCTTCCGTTTGTCAAATGATGTTATTTTCAGCTACATATTCCGATGAAGTTATGACATTTGCACGTGAAATTGTTAAAGATCCAGTTGTTTTAAGATTAAAACGTGAAAAACAAACATTACATAATATAAGACAATTTTTTATACGTTGTTATGATTCTGAACAAAAATATCATGCTATTGAACAAATTTATGCTCATTTAATACTTGGACAAGCGATGATTTTTTGTCGAACAAAAGCAACAGCACGTGAATTAGCTGTTCGAATGGCAAATCAACAACATTCAGTACGAGAATTAACAGGAGCTTTAGATATTGAACAACGTGCATCAGTTATTCGTCAATTTCGTGACCGTGTATTTAATGTACTTATATCAACAAATGTTACAGCCCGTGGTAAGTTTAAGCATCTTTTCATTGTTTGATTTTTCGAATCATAAATATTATCTCTATCATTCGCATCCTTTCTCACGGGTATCCTAAGGTCGCCAGAATTTCACGAATAGAGCTTGTCGAGTTTGAGTCCGAAAATTTTTCGTGCGATGAGCTTTATTAGTTTGATAAGTATGCTCAGTGTGCCAGTCACTGAATACAAAAAGCTAGAAAAAAATATCTCGTATTTTCTGGGCGACTATCCAATATCAATTGGAAAGTTTTATTAAGAATATCAAAGTACGCTTCGTTGAGTCCGAAAAAGTTTAATCGATCGTGTCTTTCGCTATATATTGATTAGTCCTGTGATAAAAATATTAGAATTAAATGATTGATATTTTTTTTTCAGGCATTGATATTGAAGATGTTTCATTAGTTATTAATTATGATATGCCAGTTACTATGGATTTTAAACCAGATTATGAAACATATCTTCATCGTATTGGTCGTTGTGGTCGTTTCGGTAAATTAGGTATGTTAAATATTTCTTTTAATATTTGTTAAATATTGAGTCTTTTTTTTTTGTTTTGAGGTTATACATTTAATTTAATTGGTTCAGAAAAAGATTTTAATACAATGAAAGCAATTGAAGAATATTTCCATCATCCTATTGTTGAAATAACTATTGATGACATAATCAATCTTGAACAAGATCAAGAATAAAATTTATTTTCATAAATTTGTATTATTGAATAGAAGTCTTTTTTTTCTGTGTCTGCTGTCAAGCACGATATTCTGTTTGACTCTTTCTGTCCTTTTTTGTTCTTCTTCATGTGTGATACATTATCAAAAAATAAAAATCAAGATATAAAAAAAAATTTTTTTTCTATATTTCAATAGGAAAATGTATTTTATGTGAGTGACTTGATTTTGAATGATGAATTAATGGTAATTTAAGTCGAGCATTATCTGTTTGAGGCCAATCATTACTTGTTTCATAATCATCACGAATAAGTGATTCAGTTGTATTCATAAAATGTTCTTTTCGTAAATTTTGTAAACGTTTTTTTTGTTTTAATTCTTCAATATATTGTTGAGTACGATGTTCAAATAGATATTCATATGATCGTTTATTTTGAAGAATATGATGTACTGGTTGAACTGAATATTCTTTTATTGTCCAATATCTTTTGGTTAATTTATAATAAAATTGATGAGTACTTGATTCTTCTATTGGTTTATATTTATATGATACAAATAAACCAAGATCATTTTTAGCATGTTGTTCACAACGACGCTCGGCAAAATATAATTTATAATCAATAAGACGAATATGTCGTTGATAAACTGAAAATTTTTCTTTGAGCATTTCATCTTCTTGTCTATTATGTCGATGTGCTAAAATATGATTATCAAATGATCGACGTAATAATTGTTCTCGAACATGTTTCATTCCGATTATTGTAAGAAAAAAAATAATATGAAGATAACAGAAAAAAACACAAAGAAATTGTTTATAGTTGCATATGTACTTATTTTTTTTTCTTTATTTGACATGAAATATAGATTTTGTTAACATGCAAACAATATGTTTTCTTCAATGAGAACAAAAAAACAGATTTTGTTTTTAATCAAAAATAATCATAATGTTGGCATGGATAGAAATGAAATATATTAAAGATCTATGAAAAATAATAAGTATAGTATATGAATCATGAAAATTACTATTAATAAATTTTAAATGAACAACAATTATTATTGATTTTATTACTCGCAAGTAAGATAATATGATATTGTTTCATTTATTAAACTTTCTTTAATATAGTATTTTGTATATATGACTCGTAATTATGCAGTTTTATATACGAAACAATTAGCAATTAGTCATGTGAAGCATGGCCACAAATATCGACTTCTTCACAACAGTTTTTCCTAAAGAAACTAGAAGGATAACTCAAGTTGAATTTTTTTTTGTTCAAAAGTGTCTCCATTTGAAAATTCTGTGTATCAGTGATGGCTAGCACTGACTACGACCAATGCAAAACATTTTTCTCTGCCGGAGATTGTTTCATCCTCATGTCTTAAACGACATTTTGAAGAAGAGAAAATTTTAAATAAAAGTCCTAACTCAAACTATTCTTCTAGTTTCATCATGACAGATAGTTGTGAAAGCCTTCTCTTTTTCTCTGATCACGACCGTGACATAGGTCTCTACGAGGAAATGAGATACATTTATTATTATCACTTGTTCATCTTAAGGTGCTGTCAGATTGATGCTTTCAATGAATATGTCTAGCATTAAAAAAAGAATTTATTCGAAACTCTTCACATTCATTACTGTAAGGTTTAACGAGACTCGTCAATATCTACGAAAGATGAATTATTAACAGAATATATGTATATATAAATACAGAGTGTCTCGAAAGTTGCTTCCTAAACGTGTTTTAGTATATCTTTACTATTCGATTCAACTTGATCAACTAATTTTTTTTTAATGATAGGTTCATAAATCGTGTTTTTAGTTGCATGAGGAAACTGTAAAAGCAACCTCCAAAGCTATCACATTTAAGCGACATATAAAGATTTAGCGCTTTGTTCTACATGTACAAAACCGTTTTTCTTGAATCATTCTGATATTTAAAGGGCTCAGACATTTAATAGTCGTTTATAAACATTTATTTTGATATATTCTCATTAAAAGAAATTCGATAGTCTAAACTCTAGATACCCTAAAGCTGATAACATCACTTCATCTATTCTATACCATTGATTATCGAACCTATCGGTTAGCTAGAAGTTAACTGTCTTCGAATAAATACTCTAAGCTGCTTGAAATTCAGTTTTCTTTCTATAAAATCACGTAAAAGAAGACTTGAAGTATATCAAAGTCATTTTGCTGACCAATCTCTGAATCGTTAGAAAAATGATTCAAAAATTAGTTTGTTTAAGATTACATATCACATAGTAAGTTTTGGTAAGTACATTGAAACTTCAAAGCGATCCAAGAATTATTTTAAGTCCAAATACGGCAGCTGTATTTTTTAACTAATACAGAGGGTAAGCATTTGAATAACACGCAAGAACATGAAGTAATCAAAAAAAAAACAAATAAGCGTTGCATCATGTCTTTTTACATATAGAAAAGTGCTAAGTTTTTATATTTCAGTTAGATTCAATCAAATACTAAAGATATACGAAATGTTTAATAGGTGGAATAGTTGTTTCCTTTAATTGATTTTATTTCTTAAGAAAACAAAATCTATATTTTAGGACATTCATATGTCGATGTAATTGATGTGTAGACATCAATTTGCCAAGCACCTAACGGTTGATCTCCTGTATTTGTATAAGTTCCAGATGGTATATGCTGAAATATATCACCGTTTATGTTTAATGTCATACGGACTGGTCGAATATGAGCCGTTTGAGAAAAATTATAAATATTTGAAGCACATTTTGTGTGATGGGAAATTGAAACTGGAGGAAAAGCAAGCCAAGGTGAAATATTTGCATCTACGAATGATGAAAAATTAGCTGCTTTCGGTGAATCAAACGGTACCAAAGATGGTATTAAAGGTTCAAATGAAACTTCTACAGATCCTTGTTTATACGAAATCGAATACTTGTTATTGTCAAAGTCAGCATGCATAGTAGCCTAAATATTCAAATGAATATTTTTGTCTTATAATGAAGATAATTCAAAAAAAACGAATAAAACTTACCAAATAAGTTGGAAGTCCATAGACCAACTGTGTAGCACTAACATCAATTAAATTATTTTGATAAACAAGTGGTTTTAACATAACATTTTTATTTTGACGAATTAAATAAGGTATTTCTAATTTAAATTCAACAAATGTTTGTTCTGTTATGTTAGCTAACCATGGTGGTAATGAACTTTGTTGACAATGATTTTGTTGATTAAATTCAAAATAAACAGGATGTTCATTATTTTTCATATAATTTGCTAATGGATTTGATGAATTAAATGTAAGTTCTTCTTTCGATTGGTCAAGAAATGATTGTAAAATCGTTTTTGAAAATGGTAATAATACCCACCATGCTGTTGTCCGACAATTTGTTTGACTATTACTGATGGATATTAAGCAAAGTAACAAAAAGATTTTACCTAACATCATTATATTCTAGTTATTTCTTGTTATTGGCCGTTAAAAAACAACTATCATATATATATGTGAAAAACATCATCTGATTTTAAAGTGCAATAACTAGATAAGTGACGAAAAAAAAAATTACTGTCAGTGGAAGCAAACTTACGAATGATATTAAGAAAAAGAAAACAGCGTAAATAACTATTCCTTTTTTTAAAAATACATATAGTCATTGACTATGAGTCATTCTTCGTTTGTATTGTTCGTACATCTTGTCATTGATGTAAGAAAACCAATTGATATTATGTAATGTTAAAAATAATCATGTATGTGAGCAACAATGTAGAGGAAGGATAAAAAGAAACTAATGAAACGATAATCATTACAGTTGTTTTCGTTTGACATTTTTAGATAAAATTATTCTTAGGTAATATTGTTTTAATGGAAAGAAGACTTTATACTTTTTTTTAACTTTTTCGTTTTATGTAATGTTGCAAATTGACACAATGTAGGTTCATCGATAGAGGACATCCAGAATACAGGAGACAGACAGAAAATATTCAACGAAAACAGAACAAAGAGAGAAGAGAAATAAGATGTATTTGTACGTTCGCACACTTATTACGATATTTTACGAAACTTTCACGTTAAATTGGCTTTGAGCAGTATTTTCAAAAGAATAACTTCTCAGAATTCTATGACGTATCATCGAAGAGAAAATCATATATATATATAAATTTCATCAGTCGTTGAATACGAAAGAGAACAGTGCACTTGATTAAATAGATTGTTTCTAGAAAAATGTAAAAACCGGACTTCCCTTATGGGATGATTCCATAGACAATAATAAACTAATTGATTTGTACTTTGAGTATCAATAGGTTACAGATATGTACTTTTATCACGATAAAAAAAACAATGCAATTTATTCGACTAAATAAATTTCAACTGACTTTATGACAGCCAACGAACTGGTTTCATTGAAGAATGCTACAGATAAAATAATTCAGAAGATTTTAAGAATGAGAATATCTCTTTTTAATTTTGAAAACTAATGATTTGGTTATCTTATCTGCTTTGTTAAAATAAAGTAAGTAGGAATAAATGATATTTAAAAGCTTGTTCTTTTTACAACAAACATTTGATACATTGAATAAAATCAAGTCGGTTGTGCCATGAACTCTTGTCTAGTTAATCAACAATTATTAATTAATGTATTAACATGGCGATTAATGACGAGTGCATGTTTCAGACTGGCAATATATTCTGTTTCATTTTTAGTTCACCTTTAAAAGATGAGCTTTTCCGCTCGTGCTATCTTATATCAACATTCATTATAAGAGTCATACTATGTTGGTTGGAGTCTGTTGATATAACTTAATATCCATAGTTTATTCGTTGTAAATGAAGTTAATAAGGATCTATAACCATTGTTATTTAAGGATAAATATCTACCGATGAGTGATCCATACGTACAAAATTTTCATCTATATTTTTTAAACTATTGTCCATAGTTGATGACTAAACTGACATACTTTTAAATTCTCGAAATATCTTCATTCCATGGAAACATAATAGATATGTCTTTCAGTAAATTAATAGTTATAAAGTTCCTTCATTTCTGTGGTCTTGCAGACATTTCATTTGATAAACAGTAAATGAGTTGCTATTCTATTTTACTATTTATTTGAATTATTGAACTAATTCATACAAGCCATATTGAGACAAAACGAAAGGCTTTTAACTAATTATTTTAAACTTTTCTTTCTATCATGGCATGGAAATAGTAGTCTTTTCATATGTCACAAATATTTGTCTTGATAATAATGAGAAAAAACTTTGATTGATCAATATATAGAAAATCAATTACATATCATTGGTAGACAACATAGTTTGTCGACAACTTTCTATCAATAGACTTTTAATCAATAACACATGGTGTTGAAAGATATTTTTGTGAACTGATATGTCATCGATAATCAAATTTTCATTAGCTATATGAGCTTTTACATCAATATTATGAATACAAAATAGAACTTGTTATTATTCAATTTTAGAATCACTAATTAATCAAAAATGTTTCATTTATGAATGCAGAATAATAATAGGGTCATTATAACTTTTCTGATTTCAAAATAAGAATATATGTTTTGTTGTAACTAACTCAATCGTCGTGTTCTTCCAATATGTAATCATCGTTCGAGCGATTATATTAGCATTTTGACTATTTCGGATGAAGTGTGGATGTAATAAACGAAGAAAGCCACACCCACATGCGAATATCAACATAATGGAAAGAGCACAAAGACAGAAATAATTAAAGAATAGTTATTTTTCTAGTACATTAGAAAAAGAATATGGAAACATGACAATCTATCAATGATTATTTATGTGTTGACAATAATTTAAAAAGATAATTGAATGTCAAATTTCGAAACTCATCATATGACAGTTCTGATACTAATAGAGTTAGTTGGCATCAAGAAAAATGATTCTTTACCATTATTGCTATAACAATATCGAGTATTTGGATTCTAATATTACTATTGCCATTGAAAATATGTACAGAATGAATGCTTTCCAATCAATATTAAGCGGTAAAAGTTTCTCAACGCTTCACTAAATATACAAATAAATACATGTTGTATAGTTTTGTTAGTGCTTAATTGAATTATAGTATTGACTTTTCTTATGAAAAAGACTCGAATGATTTTTCAATTGTGGATAGGAAATGAGTAATTAGAAATAGCTCGAAATACACTTAGATTTGCTCATCACATTCAGCTTCTTTTTGAAAAATATCACTCTACATTTTGCAGAATAATACAAAGTTCTCCTGAATAGTAAAAGATCAAAGATTAAAATTTCCATCACTCATATAAACTTTTTGTTTTATATCTACTCCAAAAATTTGAGGCAAATCCAACGACTCACGGAAAAGTTATAGAGCAGACAATTTTCTAAATGTCACTCTACAAAGTAAGTACAATGATCTATTTTTTTTAGCGAATTCTGTTATTTTTTTTCTCTGAAACAAATTTGACACGAGAGAACTCTTTCTTACTATTCTATTACCGCAAGAATTCTCTCTCTTCTCATATGGTCTGTATGCCATCAGCTCTATCATAAGGAAAACTAGAATTGAGTTTGTGTCAATCTATGTAAAAATATACAAGTACCTATCAAATACAATGGACATTTGTCGAGGGAATAATATTCCAATAAATTATATGTTATGAAAGAGCATCGACTGCTATCGAAACTAAGCTGCTTATATCTCTTTTCTCTAATGTTATTAAGTCAAAAGTTTTCCTTTTTTCTTGGCACATGTAACATAAAATGGCAGTTTCTTTTACTATTTTTCTCATACCTTAGCAATCATCTGAGATGGAGAATTGGAATTTGATATGGATGTAGGACAATTAGAGGAACATAAAATGTTAAAAAATTGCTAAAATCAGTTGAGTTGAACAGACGTTCTTGATCAAATACAAATAAAATTTCAATCATTTCAAAAAGTTGCAATTTACTCACATATAACAAGTAAGTCTCAATTATGTTTCTATGAGAAATTTATTCTTAAAATTAGAAAATATCAAAAATTGAACTGAATACCATGGTAATTGTGATAAATTTCAGGAATACTAGATTTTTTTGTCGAAGAAGATAAAAGAATATAACTGTTAATCTGATGGCCATATTTGACATGATTTTTTTCCTCAGACTTCTGTCATACGATAGAAAATAATTGATGCTTATGTCTCTAAATGATGATAAAAGTCAGAGATGAAGAAATACAATAATGTTATTAGTATTCATATTATTTCGATCGATAACGACTATCATTATATTAATCTTTCATGCTCTAAATATTGTCTATAAAGCAAAATCATTGTGTTAGATAGATTTGATTTCATTCCTGCATTTTTAGTACTACTTTTTGTTTGATGTTTCCGTATTTAGTCTCCAGATAATTGATCGTACCCGCATAAATGTTGTCAGTCCTATAATAGATTGACTTACTAATTGGTTTTTTAGGAACGCATTAATATTCCATCATATGTAAGTATAAAAAAAACCTTTTCCGGATAGAGTGATCATAAAAATGTTCTAATATAGAAGTTTGTAAATCGTCACAGCAACAACAGTTTAACACTGACGATGCTCATAGCATTCTATTTGGATGATAACTGCAATATGTTTAGAGATTATTAGATCGCATTGTCTATGATACAATCAAACCTTTGCTTGATAACATGAACAATTTGACCACCTTTGTGTTAATATTTTAAATATTAGAAAACTATTCAATTAATTTACCATTAGTATTATTAATATGATAAGTTTGGTAAATTGCATCAAGTAAGGGCATAGAAGCTTAAATGTCTTGAGTTTATAAGATATTTTCTTATGAGTGTGTTGCAGAAGAAATTTGAGTAGATGAAAGAATTTTCTATCAGGCGAGGTATTATTTTTCAGTTTCTATTATAATTGTTGGAGAAAATGTTCTCCGAAAAATGAAGTCTTAAAAGACAGTTTTTTGAATTCAATCGAACTTTTCTTCATCAAACTACACTCAATCTATGAATAATTTCGAAGCATAAAGTGTTAAAAGAACAATAATAACGTAGCTTCTTTACCTTTCATTACTTCAGTGCACTTGGATAACGAAAAGTCTTGGATAGTTTGGATATGTCTCATTTGGCTTAAAATCATGTGCGCTATCTGATAAATTTAGTTACAAAATATTTTCAATTGAAATTAGAGAACTGCTTTTCTTAGGTCTCTTCGCTTTCGATACAAAATTTGTGACCATGAAGAAAATAATCTTATAAATATTAAAACACGAAATTTCTTGCCTTTACTCAATTTCACATTTTCATATCACGTGATCTTTCGAACTGACAAGATTTACCCAAAAAACATAAATTCTACAAACTTTTCTTTTCTCAAATATTATATTAAACTCGAATATGTTGCAGGTGAATCAGTGTATTCTCTTCTATTTAAAGTAAACTATAAGTGGTACTTGAGATATGTGAGTACGGCAAATGAAAAGAAGCCTTTATTGTTTTTTTTTTATTTTTCATATACTTTTTTCCTTTTTCTGTACCATAAAGTCAAACAATCAGTGGCGGATGCGAAATTTTTATATCAGGGAGAAGGTGATCGTGATCATAAAACCTGTTTTCAAATTCATTTTAAAGTCTTTGACTGCTAGAGAAAACTTTTTGAAAGTGAACCTTCCCTCCATCTTCCCTTTTGAATCCGCCACTGTTGACAGTAAAAAACAAAATTTACTAAAAAAACGAATAATATCCCAATTATAAAATAATTCAGAATAGATATTAATGCTGTGTTTACATATATTCAACAAATAACGCGAAATAATTACAAATGTTGCTGTTGTTTTTGCTTTCACTTCTAATACAAAGATAAAAGCTACATGATAAAACTAATATGCTTGATCATATACACTACAGAAAAACTATGAAGAAGAATAAAGTTTGTTTTGTGTAATTTTTTTTTGCAAAGAAGTAAAATGAACACAACACAATGAAATCAAATCCATATAAGAAAGAAAGAAAAAAAAAATGATACAGTTTTTAGTTTAGAATATCAAATTGTTTTTGTCATGATCGTTTAAGCATTAGGAACAAGTAGACGACGAATTACCTTAAAAAATAAATTAAAAGAAAAATAGAAATTGCATTGTCACTTTCTTTTTTTGTTTCTATTAAATTAACTTACGGGATCGTTTTTACATCCAGCGATGAACTAAATAAGAAAAAGTCTATGAATAAAAAATTGATAGTGTTTATTTTAACTGACTTCTTCTTTCGTTAATTTTTTATTTCCAGTCACATCACAAATGCGAATTATTTCTTCAGCACGATGTTTTGGATCACGATCACCTGATAAAACAGAAGAATTTTATTTTCTTTTTAAACTATTCAAAAAATTTTACCTTTACGATCAGTTTCACCAGTCAGATCATACATTGCCTAATTTAAAAAAAATATTCTATCACTATACTAAACTTAACTAACAAACATACCGAAATAACTTTCGCCATTTCACTTGTATCAACTAAACAAATAAAAGAAAAGCATTTTAAATAAAAAGAAAACATATATCAATTGCAACTTTACTTGTTCCTGTATTGTTATAATCATACATATCAAATGCTAAAGCAAGACGTTCATCAAGATCACCTGATTGTGTCAATGCAATAGCTAGCATAAATTCAGTAAAATCGACTAAAGAGAAAAAAAAATTTTTGTTTTTCTAAGACAAAATTAGCATGTTTTTAAAATAATTTTTACTTGTTCCATTATTATCGCGATCAAATGTAGCAAATGCATACTTGCAAAAATCTTTAGCTTTACCACCTGGATAAAATTGTTCATAAACTGTAACGAATCGATCTTTCGAAAGATGTCCATTGGGACTAAAGTTTTTAAATACAATTTTCTGGTTTTTTTTTTTTCTTTTTCTTTTTTAATTATTTACCAGTCACGTAAGAAACCAGCATGCCATTCACGAATTTGTTCTTCAGTAAAATTTGTATTAGCTTTTAGCATTTGAATAGCTTTTGGTGTAAGAATTGTACTGAATAACCCAAGATGGAAAATATATTATGAAATATATGAACAAAAAAAATGAACAGAGCTTACGGATCAATTTTGCTTGAACTTTTGTTACCCATTGTAGAATTGAGTTGAGCGAGAAAAAAATGTGAATCTAAAATGAATAGGTCAAAAAAGAAACTTATTGTCTAGTTTTTCTGCGGTTCCTATCAACATTTATATGATGGTGATGAAAAGAAGAATAAGGAACGAGGCATAAATCAGTGTGCTTTTATATGCTCCTCTCTTTTTTCTTTTCTTTTCTTTCTCTTTCTTTTCTTCTTTTTCTCTCATATTCTATGTTTCGTTGTTAGTACTCAGAGAACTGCGGCAACATCGACGAGAGAAAAAAAGAAATTTTATGCGTTATTTATTAGTCAGAGGAAGATGAAATGTTACAAGGTACATCCTTATAAAGTACGAGAAAAAAATGATGATGATTGACGATTTTTTCCTTCCTAAACTGACTTTCTCTTTGTTAGACTTTACACTATCGTTTAGTCATCTAGTATCATGAAGTAAAGAATGCAAAAAGACAGAGTAACGAACAAATAGAAACGAAACACACCCAATTGCCTTCTAACATAAAATGAACCAAATGGTATGGTCACGTGTTCGGTTCATATACTTTCATGGGCTGAGTCAAATGAGAACAAAAGTGATTTGATTACTACTGTCATACCACGCCTTTGTATACTATTTTCAATACACACAAATAATTGACCTTACAAGATGTTTAAGACCAATGACGAATATTTCGTTATCTATTTGTTATTCATCAACAGAAATGTAATATGTACAAAGCAAACATTCGAGAAAAAAAAATAGGTTATAGAGTACAAAGAGAATGAATCCTTGGGTACAATATATAATTGTCTTGGTTGTACGAGTAAAATATACGAAAATAAATATATGTACACTCGATTATACTTGAACGTATTCATTTTTCTCATTAAATTAAAAAAAAACAGCGTTCACTTTTTAGACACACAAAAAGAAATATCATTGTAAATTTCGATTGACGTCATTAACTATATCATTACATACACAATAGAGAACAAACAAAAGAATTTTTTTTTTATTGGAAAATAAATTTATCGATATAAAAAATTTAATTTGAAAAATTATTACAGAATTGATCAAAATGTTTTACTAGAAATATTGCATGAGTAAAAGATAAATTATTTCAATTATAATAATAGTTTCATCTTGTTCATATGCAATTATTAGATTAATTTTTGTGTCGATTACAGTAATAGATAGAAAAAAACAATGGATTATTTTATAACTAAATAAATTTCGTTCATAAATTTTCCTTTAATACTTAAATGATTTACTTTTTTAATGTTCTAATGAAATTTTAACAATATTGAACTATGGTTTTTCAACAGAATACATCTTATCAATCATTTTTTTTTCTACATTAGAAAATTTATTATTATGCATACAAAGCACGTCGATCCAATAATTAAAAACATGATATTTCATTTTTTCATGCAAACAAAATTAGTATTTAAACAGTGTTTTAACAATATGTCTTGTACCTTTTATTCGAGTAATTCCATTCATTAGGAATGTAGCTTTGCAGCATAAGAACATTAAGTTTACTCATTTTTAAGAACATGATCGTGCATGAATATAGAAACGATAAAAATGCTCTTGTACTTAAATGAGAATTTGAGAACTAATTTTAAATAATATGATACGACCTTGACAATGTCAAAATGACGACAAAGAAAAATTTGTTTTTTCTTTCTTGACACGAGAAAACCTCTAGAAAACTGTTTTTCATTTAGTTCAGTCTTGTTAAAAGATCTCATGACCGATGTAGTTCCTAGTGCAGGGTTTGTCTTGAAACTCCTACACTTTCACTATACAAATGAGTATAATAAACACATATTACCTAAGTTTTAATCTGCTCTGACTTCAACGCGTCAACATTTTGACAAATTTTGATTTTAAAAAACTTATTATTTTTTTGAAAGCATGAAAAAGCGTTCATGTGATGCATTTCAATGTTCTCAAGTTATGTTTAACCATTTATTATATACTTCTGTTTCTTGAATCCATCAGAATAACTATACATTTCATGGCAAACAAGAAAAAAAAAATCATTAAATTTGTAATACTTTCTTTAAAAAGAAAATTTCATTTCCTAATAGTAACTGTTTTCTTTCCTTGTTACACACGGAAATAGGCAAAACCATTTAGAGTAGTCGCTGTCTTTTTCTCTTTTTCTTTTTTTTTTTTATTAAAGTCTTTTGTGTATTAGAAGAAAAAACCTCAATAAATATTCATGTTTTATTGCAAAAGGAAAAAAAAAAGAATAATGATTTACATGTAAACTAAAAATATATTATTCTTTTCACGATTGTATGAATTTTGTAATATCGTTTGTGGTGTAACATATCAAATTCCTAGAATAAATAATAAATCGAAAAAACACAAAAATAAACTAATTCAAAAACAAGTTTACTTACCACTATCAGTACCACTACTTCGTCGACTAAATATACAAAAAATAAATAAATAATTAATTATTTGTCCTTGAATTTGTGAATTTCTTTTACTTCATATCAATATGTGACAGTTGAGAAGCAGATGTATTTCCAGTTGGTGTATCTCCACTTACGATTAATGTTAACGCATCCATCGGTTGACCAAGCACACCAACTCTAAAAATATTGAAGAATAAATAAGTTATTAGAACAAAGACTAAAAGAAGTATAATAAAATGTACTCATATCGTATTTGAAATTCATTGTCAGGTATCATTTTAGGATTTTTTGGAGGTCTATTAATAAATATTAATATTTCATTATGATAGAAAGTAGAAATATTGAGAATAATTGTTAAAACATACGCATCATTTTTACCATGACGTCGTGAAAATAACCAAGCACTTTGATCGCGTGCTGTTGGAAGTAAAGTAACAACAACAGGTGATCGTTGTCTAAATTAAAAAGCTTTTTATTTTTTTAAGCTGAATAGAAAAACAAAGCAATAATTTAACTAACGTTAATAATCGTTGAAATGGTTGTCGTTTGGTTCCACTTATACTACTATCATCTATGGAAAAAAATATTTTATTATTCAATTAGAATTCAGATGATTGATTTAATTTACTAGAAGTACGGCTCATATCGGTCGATGCTGTTGCTATTGTTTTTTGTGATCGAATACTTTTATGACTTGCTCCAGTACTTTTTCGTTCTGACATATGACTTGATGGATTTCCATTATTTTCACTTGTAGTGTAATCACTCGTTGTTGTACGTACTGATCGAGTTCGAATTTGAATTGCTTTAAATAGACATATGTATATATATATATATCTACGAAAAAACTAAAAATTAATCCATCCCTACTTTTATAAGTTGGATTTGGAAAAGCATTTGTTCGAATAATTCTATAATATATCAAATAAAATGGTTTTATTATCTTTTACAAAAATTCTTATTTTCTCACCTTCCAATTTCTGTTTGAATTGTTTCAAATTGTTTTCTTTCAAATGTAATCCATACAAGAAATGTAGCAAATATAATTAATAACTATTTAATTTCAAATATCATTAGTTATAAACTAGTTTTCAAATTTTCTTACTTCTGCATAACCACGATCAATTAATGTTCGTGATACACGACCACTATATGGAATAATATCTCGTTTTTTTGTTAATGGATCACCATCAAGGCCTTCGATCCAATAGAAATGATGAAATTGTTTAAGGCCAGTACCAAGAACAATATTACTATATTTTTGTGCAACAAATAAAAGAGCTGTATTCATATGAGCTTCAGCATTCGATATACGAGTTCGTTCTTCATAATCAAATTCTCTAAATTAATTTTATAGAAAAAAAAAAATTTTTTTTTAATATTATAATGTTTAATTATTTCGAAAGTCTATACATACACACAAAGTGGATTTGTTACAATTTGAGACTCGTTATATTCGAAATACCAATAAAAATAATTGATTAAATGAAGAAAAAAATCTTCAAGTTCTGGTCGCCTTTTTATTTAACAAACAAAAAAAAAAATGAAATTGTAGAAAACATAAATCTGTTCTTGTTCTGCAAACAAAAAAAACATGTCAAGCTGTCTTTCTTTATAATACAAATAAACAAAATCTATTTTAGATGAAATATCTTTTTATAGCAACATATGAACAAAATTTGATGACGATCCGAAATATTTCGAATGAAAATTTTCTAATTTGAAATAAAAGTTTTTCTTTTTTTAACTCAGTTTGACATTGTTATTAAAAATGACACATATATTAAACATACTTAACAAAATCAGCAAATTTTTCAGGAACAAAATATGTATCACTAACCATATTTAATGCAATATCTTTTAATAAAAAAAATAAAAAAAAATTAGATAAATTTATATATTTATTTAACTTACGAATAATATCTTCAATTGATACAACTGTTTTATCTTTTGATGTTTCTAATGGATATTTTTCATAAACAGGAGGACGTCTTCCTGGTGGTAAATTCCATAGATCGATTTTTTCTGAAGCTGTTTCAGAATTAATATCAGCTTTTTCGACAGTTACATTCCTATCATGAACTAATGTATTTCTTTGATCATCCCAACGCCATGGAGATTGAGGATTAACGAATTTTCCTATTGTCTGTATAAGTAATAATAATCATGAACAAATAAAAAATTTTACATAATTCTTCTTTTTCTTACCTCCATTGAAAAATATGATTATAGAGGAAACATATTATTCAGACATATACACGAGCAAATATTCCATATTCACTTGGTATGTCATTAATTATTTCGTTGTCAACGTTACCACTGATATGACTATCTAAATAAACTAATATCAACAGTTATTTTGAATGAATTTTTATTAAAAATTATTTTTTTTTCTTAAATGTTTTCTTTTTCAGTAAACAAGATGAAATATTATAAAACAATGAGAGGTCGCATGTTGCCGAATAGTGAAAAACTACATTGCCAATTTTTTTTCGATCACATTAATCTATAATCATTCATAGGTAATATAGATCAATTCAGTAGAGATCTGCATCAAAGCAGCAGCCAACGTCGAAGTTACATCAGTAAAAAGTCAAATCTTTTTTCATCCCTATGTTGAGACGTAATTCAACATTGAAGGCGAGCAGCCTTGTGTAGTCCATTTTCCAAAAGTAGAAAAGCATTGCGCACTCCACAAAGTATGCCTTTGCTCTTACGTAGTAATAAGTATCTTCTTCATATGTTAAGTAATAAATAAAAGTATTCTACTTTATTGATTCAATTCAAGAAAAAATACATTAGAGCAATATCCTCATTAACAAGTAGCACAAAAAGAAATATATATGCAAAGTCAAAAAAGTTTGGCTCTGCAAGACTCTACAATTCAATGGTTAGTTTTATTCTTGTGTATTAACTGTAGGATGATCCATAAATAACACTATTGAAAATTCGTAATATTGTATTCTTTCACTTTTAAACGGACTAGTTATGAAAATGTGCTCTATGCATATCAATATAGTATCATTCATAAAGTTTATTGTTGCTATTCTCTCAGATGGCAACGAAAAACTATCTGTGAAATGTTTCATATGAATTTTCTAACATCATAACAAGTAAAATTTCTTTAGTAAGGTCCATGATAATACTTAATAGTGCTGTTTGTTTGTATCAGTGGTATGAAAAAAGAAACTTTCACTAACTAAAAAACTAATCCATTTTGTTGAAATGAAGTGGAGATATTTCACTTTTCTTTCCCCATTGTATAGCTTCGAGAAAAGCAAGGAAGATCTACATATGACTTATATGCATTTTCATTCGTTTGTCAATACTCAAAAACGTTTTTTTTGATTCATAGAGAAATGTAGTGGTGCTATCAATCGTATTATTGAAAGTACAATGATAATTCAGCTCGGAAATAATCATAATCTGGTACAAGAGTTTTGATGACTTTTTTAGACTTATTCAAAATGATTTAGTGGAAAACAGAGAAAAAGAAAATATCGAAAAGGCAAGGATGAGGAAGTACATGGTAAGAAGAGTCTCATCCTTCCTCACCTCACGTTAAAATGAATGATTATAGACCATAAAAACAACGAAATCAAATTAATCTGATAACAGCCAATAACGATAAGAAAGTCAAACGACGCATTCTGCTTTTTCCTTTGTTCTACTTTTTGCTTTTGCTATTTTTATCTTCTACATAACTTTTTTTGGCATTTTCCTATTTGGTTTTTCTTCTTTTCTATATTTTTTATCAATCCAATTAAAGCAAAACTGGCATAACATTCAACAAGAAAAACAACAATAATATAATTGATAGTCTATTTTTCTTAAATTAATACATAGATTTTCATAAATTCATAATGAAATTTTAAATTTTATATCAAATAATGATCGAGATAAATTTTCAAAGTTAGATAAGTTATGACTCAGTTGCATAATACTTTAAGTATACAAACACAAGAAATTATCCTTAGGTTATCGTACGGAAAATTACTGAAGGTCAATACTTTTCTCTTTTACCGTCTTTTGACAAAACTAATACATACATATATGAGACTTAGACAACGAACTAGACTATTATGATAGGATAGAATTCATGTCAACGACTACAAGGAACTATCTTAAACATCGCTATCTCTCATTGTCAATAACCGATGAAAAACGGACAAGATCGATCTTAATAAACGATAATAATATTTAAAGAAAGCATAAACACCTCCTCCTCTATAATTTCATATTCTATACAACAATAATTAAGTATATAACTAAATATATATATCTATATCATTAATTATACTCGATATGTTCAAGTGTTAATACAATATGAACACTAAAAAATATAACAATAGATTGTTCAAACTATCAAAGTCATTAACTAAAATAAATTCATCATTTTTGTTTTCAAATTCAATGTAAGAGAACAAAAATTAGTTTCAATATACGTAATCGATTTCCTTTAGTTTTTTCTTCTCTTTTTTTTTTAGTATAAATAAAATTCATTTGATAATTACCAAGCAATTCTTTTCTATCATTAGAATCTTTATTTTTTTTCTTTAATAACAATAAAACTGATTTTTATCATAATGAAAATTCTCATCTTCTCTTCCTTTTTTTGTTTATTTCCATACATATGTTAAGAACATTTTGTTTTTCTCATAACCGGAAAAGATTGTCTCAACAATGCGAGAAGATGATACACAGCAGGAGAAGAAAAGAAAAGAAAAAAGAAGAAAAAAAGAAATTAGCTTATTCCATCGACATATAATAAAAGATATCTTCCAATCATCAACGAGTATTAATATACAGAATAACCAATATCACTGCATCTCTCTCTCTCTCTCTTTATTCTTTTTTTTTGTTTAAGAGAGAGAAAAAAGACGATAAAAGATAACCTAAATGAGAATGGGGCAAAAGACGCGTTCTCTATTCGAGACGCTAATTCTTCTTTTACCCACAGTATACATGTATGACGAGCTTGCATTATGATTGATGAGTATAATTGACGTTAGTAGATGATATGCACCAGGCGTGTACATCCACACATATATCTTCGTCGAAATAACTCTACATTTTCGAGAGAATTAAAATTTCACGTGTGCATATGTCAAGATTGATTAAAAAAAATTCTTTTTTTTTTTTTTTTTTCCTCTTTTATTATATCTAGATATAATTATCATATGTCCTCTTATGATAATATAATGACGACGAATACAACAAATTTTTATTATCAACAATATCATCCTTCACAAACATCATTATTACAATCAACAACAAACAATACGGATTTAAATAAACTTGATAAAGATCTTATATATAAGTAAAAAAAAGAAAAGAAATTCTTCTTATTTGAAATATATATTTTTTCTCTTTTGTTTTTTTTTTTTTTAGTCATCCACTTTTTCCTTTACTTGCTATTATATTTGATAAATGTGAATTAGCAACAAATTCACCTCGTGATGCAAATAATCCAAATTATGCTTGTTCACTTACATCACTTAATGAAGATGTTATTGAATTTACAAAACAAGTAAAGTTTTCAAGTATTTTCTCTATGAATAATTTAATCATGTTTTTCTTTTCTAATAGTTAACAAAAGAACATTTACCATGTCATACATCAAATCCTGAAATTGATAATCTTGTATGTATTTGTTTATTTATATAAGATAAATAAAAAACATAAAGAAAAAAAAAATATCTACAATAACTCTTCTTCTTTTCTTTTTTTAAGATGATGCAAGCAATACAAATTTTAAGAATTCATTTACTTGAATTGGAAAAAGTTCATGAGTTATGCGATAATTTTTGTCAACGTTATATTCATTTATTGAAAGGAAAAATGCCTATGTAAGTTAGTTGAAAAAAGAAAATGTATACTTGAATTTTATTTGTTTTTTATTAAAGGGATATTATAATGGATGATCGAGATTTAAGTTTTTCAAAATCTGAAGATGAACAAAGTGAAATGAGTAATCATGATTTTGAACAAGATATCAAACCGGTAATAATAGAGTTTTTCTTTTAAACGACGATTTCCAATTACTCTTATGTTTTATCTTATGGTTGTCCCAAAATAGTTTAATCATTCTACTGTAAATGTCATGTTAATTAGACAATAAGCATAGGAATATTAGCAAAGGAATCTTCGTCTAAAACATGTTCTTTTTTTTCATCAAAAGATTAGGTAATTTCTCGAGTGTAATTCGTCATATTAATGCAGATACTATTCTACATTTTTCTAATTGCACAATAATTTTCATTTACTACAATCCAGACTCTTTTATTGAATGCTCAGAAACTTTTGACAAAAGAAAACATGTGTTACAATCGAAGGTTGCGACAGTCATTATCCATGAGAATATATGATAAACTATGCTTGTATAGATTCGATTAAATCATATCTATCTATATATATATAGTTGCGGTTCGATGATCTTTTAGAAAAAAAAGAAAAGAAAAGATGTTAATCAAAGATAAATCTAATCTATATATTCTAATCAGGTGCGTTCATTGTCTCAAACATCAACACATGATCCTAATCAAACATTAAAATCAAATTCGGATTCATCAGAATCGCGAAGTCCAAATCAACAGCAACAGCAACAGCAACAGCAACAACAACCACCATTCTTATCTATTCAACAAACTAATAATTATATGCCATCATCATCATCAACAATTCAATATTCTCATCAATCAATTGATGAAACAGATAAAAGTAGTGAAAATTTTGAAAGTTCAATTGAAGGTGATTATTATGAAGAAAATGATGATAATAATAAACGTCGTCAAAAAAAACGAGGTATTTTTCCTAAAGCAGCTACATCATTAATGCGTGCATGGCTATTTCAACATTTAAATGTAAGATTTTATAATTGATAAGAAAAGAAAATAATGTTTTATTTTCTTTTTCTTTTTTAGCATCCATATCCATCTGAAGAACAAAAGAAAATTTTAGCTCGAGAAACTAATCTTAATATTTTACAAGTTAATAATTGGTACGTTTCATTTTTAATGTTTTACTCGAATGATCTTCAACATTTCCTGCTATGAATCTGAAGTGTCGTAATCGTTTGGGTTAATCAATTCACACCGTTCCGTTCCATCTCATCAATTGTTCGTGACGAACCGTGTTAAAAACAGTTAACGCTGCGGAAATTTTTTTTTCAATCATGCAGCTGTGCTTGATCTATATACGTATATATATATACA